CATGCGTTCGCGCGGATCCTCGAAGCTCCAGTCCCGCCGCATGCCTCCGCTGCGCACCAGCCGCGGCTCCTCCTCCGTCGCTGCCCCCGCCTCTCGGGCGTCCGTGCTGCCACCGAACAGAGCGCTGCCGGTGCTCGCGATCTTGCGGTGACCCTTCTGCTTGTCGTCGGGGGGGTCCACGGGGATGGAACTGCTCCTCAGGTGAGCGTAGAGGAGCGGCGGGGTCAGCTCCCCCGACCAGCTCCGGCCGACCCCGAAGCACCTCGACGCCCACGGGACGTCCTCGCGGCCATGCTCCAGCTTCGTGTCCCTCCTGGGCTCCGTGCGCCCGCCGCACGAGAGGCAGTTCAGGCTCATTCTGCTCGGCGTTGGAGAAGAAGACAGGGAGGAGTTGAGATCATTGGGGAGGAGATGAAGGTCCAAGATCTCTTATATGGGGTGGAGGCGGAGGAGGAGATGAGGCCTGCACAGCTTTGGTCGAGCCATGGAGGGAGGGACGGCACCATGCAAGTGTTCGTGCCAGGGGTTGACCGGGTTGCTCTAATCTTTGCACACGGAAGAGCCTTATATTACAAAGTTGCCATCACCTTTGTCTTTGACAAAGGGGATAACAGTGAAAAGGTTAAGGGCATTAATGTGATTTTATGCCATGTTAAGGGTATTTTGAGAGGTAGACAGACGTAAAACCTCTTACAATGCTTATCCAAAGACTATGGAGGAGAAAAGAATTCCTTTTGGATCATTTTAGCGAGCAAATACTTATCCCGACGGATAATTTCGAGTAAAAAGAGGATATCTTTGGATGATTTTGACTGCTTGCAGTTAGTTACAAGTCTCATTAATTGGGTTCTTTGATTTAGTCGTTCGATATTTCATTTTTTTCTTTTGTTTTAATTATTTATTTTGAAAGAAGATTTATATTCACAATCTCTTTTTATTATTTACAAGGAGTACTTTTTAACTATTCATAATGTCTTACCATTCATAATCTCTTTAAAAATTAATAAAATAATATTTTTTTTTATTTATAATCCCTTTAATTTAAATTTTACTCTTTTATTTTTTTCCTTTTTCCCACATCTCTTGTGATAGCCACTTGTGCACCCTGTCGCTATCGACGCTTTCTAACTTTCTATTATTGATCGTTGCCTCTATTCCCCACCAATCATTACATCCTAGTCTATGCTCGTCATCGATTGTCGACCCCTGACTTATGTTATGACCTCGCTTGTCACTCTCTCGACATTATCATCATCATTCGAGGAGAGAAAAAAGAAGATGAGAAAGAAGAAAAAAAAGAGGATGAAGAGGAAGAAGATGATATTTATGTCCATTTACGAAAGGATAGTTTTACTTATCTAAAAAAAATTTAAATAAGGTGATAAATAATAAAGAGGGGGTTGTAAATAGTAATCTCCTTTGTAATCTCATGAAGAATTTTTAATATTCCTAATATATCCCTTAATAAATAGATATAAATACCCTCAACTTATTATTTAATTCTATATGTAAGCGCCTAGAAGATGCATCTTCTGAGTGGTCTTGAAAATGCTTGAAATATATTTTGGGACACACCACATTTTTCTTCTCTTTTGAATCAGCCCTTATGATAGAATTCGATTGACTTTCGAGGGCGTAGTAGGAGGTGAGGTTGATTTAAGGTTACCTTCATGTTGAATCATTAAAGAGGCATCTGACGACAAACTGGCTATCACGAACAAAGCTATAAATTGGATGTTTGATGTAATACTCATATATGTCGGTGTCTTTTAGTTTTACTCATACTTTTCATAGTATTAGATGGTTTGCAGTAAGCTTGACAATCATATTTTGGTTGGCTTTTATGGTCGTTTCAGGCTTGTAAATATATGTTGAGTGCAATCATTTTATGGGTTTTCAATCATCGTACAGAGGCAAAAACTACCTAGAAACAACCCATCGAGATAGTCATTTTATGGGTTTTCTAGCTCCGTAGAGTGGTGCAGAGTGTTAGCCATTTAATCGGAGTACTTTTTTAACTAATGACAATGTCTTACTATTCATAATCTCTTAAAAAATTAATCAAATAATATATTTTTTTATTTATAACCCTTTTAATTTTAATATTACTCTTTTCTTTTCTTTTCTTTCCCCACATCCCTTGTGATAGCCACCTGTGCACTTTATAGCTATCGATGCTTCCTAACTCCCTTTCATCGATTGTTGCCTCCTAACTTGTGTTCCCACCAATCATCGCATCCTAGTCAACGCTCATCATTGATTGCCAACCCCCTGCTTGTGCTTTGACCTCACTCGTCACCCCCTTGACACTATCCTCCAAGGAGGAAAAAAAAAAAAAGGAGAAACTATAAGATGATATTTATGTTCATTTCCAAAAGGATAGTTTTGATATATTAATTTTTTTAAATAAGGTGGTAAATAATGAGGGGGTTACAAATCGTAATCTCCTTTACAATCTCACGAAGAACTTTTAATATTCATGATATATCCATCGATAAATAGATATAAATGTCCTCAAATTATTATTTAATTTCATATGTAGGCGCTTAGAAGATGTATCTTGAAAAAACCTAAAATATAAGTACTTTGGGTATCATAGAAAAGGTTTGGTTGGGACACACAATATGTCTTTTTCCTTTGAATTAATTCATTTGATGGAATTCAACTGACTTCTAAAGGCGCAAGGGGAGGTGAGGTCGATTTAAGGTTATCTTTGTGTCAAATCGTTATGGAGATATCCGACGACGACGACGACGAATTGACAACTTGCAATGTAACTGTAGCATCAAAGATCATCACTATTGACACATTCACATGTTTTATGGCATCATAGATCATTGACGTGTGTTGGAGATTATTGAAGCAACATTGGAGCAATTAAGGTTCCGTAAATGATCAAAGGGGATACAACTAGGGTTCTAGTCCTAGCACTAGCGAGGATGATCAACCAACAAATGAAATTGGTTGTATCAAGTAATGATAATTGAGAAGCCGTGAAAAATAAGGATATGATTGATAATTAAGGAATTGTATTTAGTAAATTATATATATTTTTTAGGTAAGCATATGAAGTAAGAGTGTTGCCGATAAAAAAAAAAAAAGGGTTCGGCAATAGCAATCTCCTTTGTAATTTTACACCATTTTCATATTTACTGCAGCATAATGCATGCAATGTTTTAGCTCAACTGATTCCTGTTGATTAATGATTCAAACAGGTCAAATAAAAATCTTGAGAAAAGAATGGATCTCATAGTATAGAAGACTTAAATCAAATAGGTTTACCATAACATTGGTGGCTGATTAGCTCAAGTTTTTGGGCGGATGTTTTTGGCACTCGTCCAACTTTTTAGGCATGGATCACTTAAAGTTTACTTATGTTAAAATAATTCATATATTTTTAAAAATATAATATATAAATTTATTTTGATAAATCTAAGTTAACAGATGTTAGAATCCGTTTATATGGTATGTTGACTCATAATAAACTATTAATATAATGACATACGTAATTTAAGTTATAAAAAAAAATTCATTTAGCCCTCGTGATTTTGGTTATGAACCTTTTAAACCCTTAAGATATTGCTCATGTTTAAAATAAACTTTACATTTTCAAAAATATAGCATATAAGCCTTTCTTATCAAGTTTGAGTAAACAAACATTAGAGTTTGTTTACGTGATGTGATATGTTGACTCATAATAAATTATTAATATAATAATATATGTGATTTAAATTAAAAAATATTAAGATCATAATCAATGACAAGAGGAGACATCGTCATGGAAGAAATAACTAGTAGTAGCACCGAGTCGCTACTACCTAGTAGAGTATCATACGCACACAGTCTCTCCCGCATTGACAATGAGCTTAGGAGCTTCCGGTTCTGCCTTATGTGGATGTGCATCGACTAATCCGACACTAAGCATACAATGGTCTCTTGTTCCCTCTTCCTCCTCCTAGGCGTCTTCGTCCACATCGCCTCCCATTTCATCATCTCATGTGCCCCCACTCATCGCGCCTACGACGTAATAGTCTATCTCTCCCTTACCTATGTCGTTGGCCTCTCCTACCGTTGCCTCTACGCCTTCGTTAGCCTCCGCTGCTTCCTCTTCCTCAACAAGATAGACTTTTTTTTAAAACTTAAATTATACATATTATTATATTAATAATTTATTATGAGTCATCATGTCATATAAATAAACTCTAACGTTTATCAACTTAAACTTAATGAAAAAGACTTATATATTATATTTTTAAAAATAAAAAAAAATTATTTTAAATATAAACCAAACCAAAACAGCTGAAAGTAATCCAAATCACAAGAACTAAAATGAATCTTTTTTTATAAATTATATGTGTCATTATATTAATAATTTATAATGAATCAATATGACACGAATAAACCTAAAAGACTTAAGAAATCAATGACTAAAACCATATGAACTAAAATGAACCTTAACCCTTAATTAGATTAATAAAAAAATCTCATGTATCAATGATTTCTCCTACATAGGAAAGTTCCCACACCAATCTATTACATTTATCCAACTTAGCAAAGTTGTTTATTGTCTCCATTTTGTCTTCACCCTGAAAGAATGTTTTAGATATGAGATCACAAAGATTTAGCCATTACGTCCTGCCATTTATATGCAAGATAGCTTTGGACATTGAAACAATAACATGTCTGATTAGCACATAAGAACAGATTATATTCACAGGATAATCTGAAGTGATGAAACACCTTAGGATAAGTTCCAAACATTACTGCAAGGTTTCATAGAACTATAAATCATTCAGCTCACAAATGGGCAGAGCTTCTCTAGATTGGGATATCACTGAAGCTCTTATTATCAGGCCACCAAGATCCTACCCTGAATGAAACTTTTATCAGATCCCAATTACCAAGCTCAGCTGAATGCGATCTTGGCTGGAAATAGAGCTTTAAAGCAAAGCTCAAAGTTTTAATTTCTCCAAGGGTAGATGGACTCAACATGGATCTTTCCAACAAAAATAAGAAGCAACAAACAGTATATATTTGCATATTCGGGACCATTAATCTGGTGCTGACACTTATCGGACATTTAAGAAGAAAACAGAAAAAAAAAAAAAAAAGAACACTTGCCTCTTGTTAAAAAAAAGAAAAAAGAAAACTAGAGCTAATTCGGACCAGCATGTACACCATACTTTGAGAACCCAAATTCATCTTCCCGATCAGACCAGCATGTAAAATACTTCTACTTCGGCATGACTGTGGATGCATCAATCCCCTGACTTATTTTCTTGACCTCTCCTTGTTTTTCAAACTATGTACTAATTACAGGGCATGATGGCATTTACCTTCAGCTGCATGTATGAACTGAACTTGAAACCTAACTCTGAAAGTCTAGCTAAGAACTAAAAAACGAGATACAATGACAATATTTGCCTTAACTTCAATCTCGTAGGTTTATCTGCTGCACCCTGATGGCCTGCGATAATTGTCCAATGCTGTCAGGTAGGCTCCAAATCATTGTTCAGCATCAGGAAGGGGAAGTGGGCAGCAGTAAACTAACCACATTTCGGTCAGCAATGTACAAGTAAAGCTAATGGAGCCAGCTGGCTCAAGGATGACCAATGTCACTTGATTCCCAGGTACATCATGCTATCATCATGCCTCTTGATTCCCAGGTACAGGACTGTACTGCAATAAGAATTTATACCTAGGAATGCATGAGTTAACACATAAAGAACTTTTTTCATGAACTTTAGAGCCAAAGAAAGTATATAATCATGACAACATAGATGGAACATAACAATGGAGCCCCACTAACCTGATCCTGGTTAGACTTCTCTTATACACAACCATGGTGCTAGCACCTGAAAGCAAAAATCAGGAAAAAAAAAGGTTAAAATAGTTGCATGTTGTACTGTCAGTGAAAGATGCCCAAGGCCCTGATAAAGCCTTGTAATATTCTCAGGAAACTATATTCTGACTACTCTAACAGATGACAACTTACAAGCTATCCATGCTCTGAATCTTTGTAGCCGCCAAAAAGAAGCAAAGTATTAATACAGGGCTTATCAGGCAAAAGCTGCTCTGCTTGTGGAATTGGTTTGACCGTTTGTGCCTTCTCAGAGGCAGGAAAAGCTAGTGAGAGTGAAAGCGAAGCTCTTAAATCATCACAATCCACTGCAGAAGCAGGCATCTTATCTCGATGACTCTTTTCTCCAACCTTTGGAGATAACAAAGGAAAGATATCCTGCTCTATTGGTCTCTTCTTTCTTCCCAGACCGAGTTCAAGATCAGGGGCATTAGATTCAGGTGAATCTTCATCATCCGATGAAAGGACATATACTAAATTGTCTGCCTTTGTACTTGTTTGAGGACCTGGATCAATTGGGAAGAAGTGTCTTTCAGAATTTTTTAAGCTCTCAGATACATTTTCACAGTAGATGCTATCATTTGTTAAGCAAGACAGTAAAGGTTGCATCTCTGAGGATATGCTACTGCTTAGATTTTCTCCCGTGGATATACAAGGGAGATGCCCTCCACTATCAAGCCTCATCTTTTTGTGCACCTTTTCATCAGTCAGAGATGTGCAGCTTGCTTCATCTTTCCAAAGCATTACATCAGAAGAGCGTTTTAACATACAACCAGAAGAATTTTTAATTGTTTCGAATGAGATGGGTTGTGCACGTTTCTGATTAGGCTTTAGTTTCCAGCTAAGCCGGTCCACCTCAACATTTTCTGATAATTGATTATTTAAAATAGATTCACTTGTAATGAAGTTCTCTTTCTGCTTGAAATTCTGAACTTTACTGTCATTCCCTGCATGAACAAAGTGGAGGAAAAATGAGAACACTTGTATAACAAATCATAAAATGTAAGTCAACCTCAAGACAACTCACCTTGCCCACAATTTAATGAAACTGAATAAGTGGGGCCTTCATAATCACTGACTTTTTTATTATTAGCAGGAACATGATGTACAAAAACTTCTCTGCTATCTGAATCACCAGCGAGATTGTCCTAGCACATAACAAAACGTTAACCAAATTGGTGAGATTAAAGAGCCAACAGATGAAGACATGATAAAATATCAATACACTCGATTTAATTTAAAATTAACTTCAACATAGTTGACTGTTGCAAGTTTTTTCCCTTTGGAGGAAGGTTGACCATTTCATGTACACCAGCATGCAGTACAATCGGTGATTTAAAAAGACGCTCGGGTGCTCGCCTAGGCGCTCGGGCGAGGCGAGGCGAGGCCCGAGCGCCTCGCTTCATTTCCAGGCGGCGTGCTTCAAAGAGGCGAGCGCCTAGAGTTTTTTTCCCTTTGGAGGAAGGTTGACCATTTCATGTACACCAGCATGCAGTACAATCAGTGATTTAAAAAGACGCTCGGGTGCTCGCCTAGGCGCTCGGGCGAGGCGAGGCGAGGCCCGAGCGCCTCGCTTCATTTCCAGGCGGCATGCTTCAAAGAGGCGTCGCCTAGGCGCTCGCCCGAGCCTAGGCGTCGGGCGCTTTGGGCGAGCGCCTGGGTTAAACTAGGCGACCGAACCAACGGTTTAGGTCTGGTTCGGTCTCCGGTGCTTTAGTTGGTTCGATTGAACAAACTAAAGCACCGATATCAGCGCGACTTCCCCAACCCTAACCCTGCTCGCCGTTCACGCTGCTCGCTGCCGCTGTTGCTGCTCCCGCTCCCGTTGCTACCACTGTTGCCGCTCGCTGCTGCTCGCTTTTACCGCTACCACTGTCGCCACTCGTCGCTCCCGCTCCCGCAGCCGCTGCTCGCTGTTGTCGCTGCCTCTGTCGCCGCTCTCGCTCTCGCTCCCGCTGTTCGCTGCTACCGCTACCACTGTCGTCGCTCGTTGCTGCCACTCCCGCTTTTCTCAGCACCCTCGGTCTTCCCTTACACTCTTCTCCTCTCTTTCGCTTCTCTTTCGAAATCGAAAGTATACTGTTAATAGTATACAGTATAGTATACTGTTATACTGTATACTGTTAATAGTATATAGTATACTGTTAACTGTATACAGTATAAAACAATTATTTTAATTTTAATACTATTAATTTTTATTTATTTGAAATTATTGTTAACTATATACAGTATAGCAAGTGTACATTGTGATTTTATATCTTAGATTTTCTTAATTTAATAGCATATTTTTTATTTAAAATTTTAAATAATTATATTTATTAATTATATTATATATTTTTATATTTTAGCGCCTCACTTCGCTTGGACGAGCGCCTAGCGCCTCAGGCGTTTTTGGACCGTGACGCTTTTTGACGCCTAGCGCTTTTTAAATCACTGAGTACAATTTAAACAAAGATTATAGTTACATGCAAGGAGGCCAAGTCACTTGGCTTACCATATGTTCGAGACCTGTGCATGCAAACATCCCAGAATGCCTTAAAGTGTTTAAGAAAGACATAGAGGGTCTCAAATATTGCAATTTCGTACAGTTGATACTACTGAGTGTTGGTACACCTATGTACCGAAGAGGAAGAAGAGGAGATGGTGGAGGAAAAGGAGAGGGAAGAAGAAAAAAACGCTGGTGCTGCGATTTCGATTTCCGAAGCGAACACCAGCAACAGCACCGAGCCGCTACTGCCTAGTAGGGCGTTGTACACACGCAGTCTCTGTCATGCTAACAACGAGCTCAGGAGCTTCTGACGCCCTGTTAGCCAACAGCGGCTCGATACTGCTACTGCTGGTCGCTTCCATGATGACGCCTTCTCACGCCATTGATGGAGGTCTCAATTTTTTTCTTAAACTAAAATTATGTCATTATATTAATGGTTTATCATGAGTCAGTATGTCATGTAAACAGACTCTAACGTTTATTAACTCAAACTTGACGGGAGGGACTTATATGCTATGTTTCTAAAAATATAGAGGTTATTTTAGACATAAGTAAATCATAAGGGCTTAAGAGATCTATGACTAAAACCACAGGGGTTCAAATGTACCTTAACCCTAAATTACACATGTCATTACATTAATGGTTTATTATGAGCCAGCATGCCACTTAAACAAACTCTAACGTCTGTTAACTCAAACTTAACGGGAGGGGCTTATATGCTACGTGTTTTTAAATATAAGGATTATTTTAGACACGAGTAAACTATAAAGACTTAAGAGGTCCACGGCTAAAACTATAGAGGCTAAAATAGACCTTAACCCTATAGGCAAAATACTATTTGGGTAGTCACCAAAACAAAAGAAGAATGGAAACTGACATATTAATGTTGAGAGGAAACTTGACAAATTTCAATATAGCTCCAAGAAACTCTATACATCTTTGTTTCTAATATAATCTTACTATATCAATTTACTTGATATTTATTTATTTTGCTAGACTTACATGGATTGAAAAATCCAATCAAGTCATGTTTGCATGGAAAAAGTGTTCTTCAGTAGACTATACAATGAACAAGAGTAAATTTGATTTTGGATTCACTTTTTTTACTGATATTAGTTTAAATTGTTGTTTAAGATTCTAATAATGATACAATTAAAGTTGCATCTTTGGAAGGTCGATCATCTTTGACAATAAACTAGGTGCATATGAGAATACATATACATATCAAGTAACTTGTTTGTGGAAGAAAACACATTTAAGAAAAAAAAATAGATATGATTAATCATCAAGATCTGCTTCGTTTGTGTTTTTATTCTCACATTAGATCTGCACAGAAATGATTTAGGACTTGTATAGGACCAACTAATACAACGAACAACCATAATATTCCAAAATTGAGGGTTGGCAACATGGATCATTTACTACTATTAAACTCTAGTCAAGCTACAAACAATTGAATCTCTTTTTATTGTTTATAATAAAGCTTTCTTAGGTGTTCTATCTCTCCTTGCATTATGAATCTTATGTGACTAAACTTGTGTAACTGGAGCATTTATTAATCTCCATTGGTCATGTCCATACCATTTTGAATGGTTTTCGAGAAAGATAAGAGATAATTTCTGATTTGTTCTTTTCGGTGAATTATAAGACATGTAAGAAGGTACCAAAACCAACACAACTCATATCAATATATGGCTGTGGGGCTCATGGTGAATTTAGTGTAAGCACTAAGCATCTGACCACAGGCCAAACATAACTGTTATATGACATCTGATATTCAGTGCAAGAAATGAAAGAAAAGAAGGTATCTCATTTTTTCTATAAGTTCAGAAAGATAATAGTTGTTGAGTAAGTTATTAAAACAACACAAGGATCAATTACACACAGGATCCATCATTTATTTCTAAGATGTAAATAATTTCCAGCGGTAGTTGTAACCATCAAAGATGCTTCTCTAATCAATAAGCATGGGCATATAATTGATATTGGAAAAAGTAAAGATAAAAAAATATGCACCAGAAAAAACTGAGCTTACTGGGCTAGTGAGATCATTTTCGATTTCCGAAGGCAACCGTTCAATATCTATCTGAAACTTTGGCTCCGAATAAGCAACAGGGACACTAGGAATCTGAAGCTTTGGCTCTGGATATGCAATAGGAGTACTAGGAAGAAAATTAATGTTCTTAAACGAGCAATTTTCAGAAAGCAAGCATGAAGCCTTCTCTCTCAGCACTTTATCATCAGCAACAACTTGACATAAGGTCTTCTGGACAATAGGAGGTTTCTCTGTGTTGTGTATCCCATTGTTGTTTCCTGATGGAATAACCACAGGATCAGTGCAGGCACCAGATTTAGATGGCTTTTCCTTCGGTGATCTGTCAGATTCTGATAGCTCCTTAGAATCCTCATCAGATGCATGAAGAGAGCAACAAAGTCCAGAATCAAAAGTGGTTGGCAGATCTTGGATAATAGTTTTTGAGTTCAAATTGCAAACAGAAGGTTTTCTCTCCAGACTAGGCAGGTCCACCAAGCTATTTATCTTTCTTCCTCTAAATACACCCCAAAGATAAAATAACTTGTTCCAGCCTGAAACAGCACAGCAACCCACAAGTTAGATGATTATTAGTGCTATAGAAATATAAATAATGCATAAGATCACATGAAATATGCAAATCTAGATAGCTTATAAAACAAAGTCCACAAAAGTAATCCTTTCCATTCTCCCTCTTACTATGAATATTACTGCTAAGGCCATTGCTTACGTTGGGAATTCTCTGGTAACATGTTCGATGGGAATATAAGAAGTTCCACAGTATCAATATTCCCTATGAGGGCTAAATCATTTTTTAGCATATTTTCCAGCAACTTCCAATAGTATTTTCCGTAACTGCTCAAGATGAAGCACAAAATATCAATTATTTTGTCAATATATAGATCAAAAGACAATTCACAGGGAGAAAGTACTTAATAAATCACCTTTCAATGTCTTTAGCAAAGAAAAAAAGAGCAATGTTATCATCTTTAGGACTGTTTATGTGAAACTGCAAAGGCCAGGATCTTAGACGAGGTATTTCCTCCAGTTGGATTTTGCAAGGAAATTGAGATGCCACTTCAAGTGCTTTAGGGGAGACATAAGTAGACAAGTGGGCCTGAAAACCATCAAAAAGTGTAGGAGCCTCGGCAGTTCTCAGCACCTCAAAAGCACCTCTGCACATAATAAACAAAAGTAGAAAAATTATAATGCTGGAAATTCTATAAATGGTATTGCATCATCTATAAGATTAGATGGCTAAAGACGAATTTGAAGGCAACGTATGAACTAAAAAGAACATATCATACTGCCAAATGTAGTCGAGCTCCGGAATTACTGAAGCTCTTAATGGATGCATTGGAATGGAAGCTTCATTGGACAAGGTTTGTATGATGGGCTTCTTTAGATTCAAGTCATCTCCAATGTCAAGAGCTATCCCTTCTCCAGCAATAAGCATAGCTTTCTTATGGTTTTCTACTTTCTGGTGTGCATGAATGCCATTTGTTGCTTTGCTAAAATTTTGCACATCAGATGTACCTTCCAGGGATGGCAAGTTTCTAAAATTTAAAGAACTTGATGAAAAATCTTTAGCTGTTAATTCAGAATTTGCATCGGCACTGCACAAAGAAACTTCCTCAGATTGATCAGGTGATCTAGAAGTCCTTTTTGTTCCAAGTTTCCAACCCAACACCTCAGCGCCATCTTTCGACTTCACATTTCTGTTATCCATATCCCTTAAACTTCGTTCAGAAGAAGGCTTCATGGCAGATATGCGAAGTTTGTCAACTGCACAGAACTGTGTTGAATGACCTGTTTCATTACACCTATGGCAACGAGGTAATCGATTGCTGGCTGAGGCTGCCTGCCTAGAATTGCTTGAAAATGTGTGGTCCTTGGTTTTATCATCTCTATGTGTCAGTTCTGCAGCCTGAGGTGTATTGAAGTGTTGCAATATTAGGTTACTGCATCATCTAGTAAGAAAAACAGAGATTTGGGTGGATATTTACCTTGGGTACAAGTTGAAAAGGCTTTTGATCTTCATTCTTACATGATCTAATTGAAGATGTACATGCAGAAGTTTGTGACAAAGATGATGATGGCTGCTTCTTCACATCATTAGCTAATGAACCTCCCAACAGTCAGTTATTAACTTGATTAAAAAGATGAACAATATATGACTAAGCTACAAAAACAAAGAAGGATACTTTACCTAAAGTAGCTGCATCATTTGATCCTCTATTGTTGCCAAGATTGCTGGAATCAGATGTCCTTTTTAGTCTGGGATCATTTTGTTGAACCTTTGAGTCGACCTTCAGAGGAGAAATACTGGTGGTAGATGCTGATGGACTGACAAAGCGGGAACCAGGTATAGAACCTTTAAGATCTACGGCACTCCTTTCTTTCTGCTGTTTCACACCTCTAGGATCATCAGGCTGTGGTGGGTTAAGTGACTGCACTTTGCTCATTGTCTTGACACTCGAGAAGCTTGAACTCTCACTTCTGAATGATGCCGATTTTGTAATCGTTCGCAATGGGCCTTCTTTTCTTATACTGCTTGAATTAAATTCTCTGGTCATTTTTTTATTTTGAGGAATATTCTCCACCAACTGTTTCACTTTTGGCACTTTTGAGTTGTTAAAAGAAGCTGACTTTGATAGAGGCCCTACCAAATTTATAATTTGTAAAGTTTATAAATATGTGGAAGTAGGAATGGTACACAAAAATTGTCTAATATAAAAGAAAAAAATAAAAGAATATAAATCTACAATCATACAGCAATATGAAATTACCCCTTGTTGGTTCAAGATGTGCTTGTGGCTTGGACAAATCAGGAACCGAAGAAGTTTGTGAGCGAGGAACAGGTTGAGAGATAACTTCTGGCTGACCACATGATGTTATCAGGGCAGATGGTTTTACCTTAACAAAATCAGGTTTGTTAGAGGAGTTCTCATGGGAGTGCAGAGTAGGTTTCATTGGAATGGTTGTCTTAGTGGAAGCACCACATGCTTCGGAGATTTTCTCTTTTGTAACACAGGTAACCTCCAAATTCTCCCCCTTCCTTTTAAATGAATTGGAGTTTCCAAGTTCTTTATTATCTGTCCTAGTGTCTGCATTGTCTCCCTTATTTTCTACACAAGGAAAACTATTTGATGTGCTCCCAGTGATCTGATTATATTCAGATACAGATGGTGCTTCTATTGCTTCAGTTTGTGCTTCAGATTTTCCTATCATTTGATTTTCAGCCTCCTTGAGTTGGCATTCTTCACATAGCCACTCACCTTCAGGAACTTTATCCAACATTATTCGCATACAGTAACTGATCAAAAGAAATTTTCTGTTAAACGCAATATCCAATGAAAAGCATTCAATAAGAAAAAAATCACTCATTTTGATCTTACGTATGCTCTGCACCATCACTGCACCTACTACAAATAGCAAGCAACTCTTCCTGTCCTGCATCTCCACAGATATCACAAACTTTTACCTGCAATAAAATTAATATGGAAGATAACAACCAATTGCATGCTATCAACCTCTTCAGAAGTAAATTACAAATGGAACAACAAATTGTGCATAATCAATATGGACAAGGCTGCTAAGCATTTTGTCATGTGCATGAGGCATCAAAACTATACTGAAATTGAAAGTTGACTGGACCTTCTGCAGAAAGATCTGATATAACCACTAGTGTTACTAATCTGCTAATGAACCATACAATTTACATGATAAAAAATCAATAAGTAGTACATTTATCACAAGCATATGGGAAACAATTTAACAAAAAACATTCTTACATTAGGAATCAATGGATTATTGAAACTAATTTTTTGCATTTACAGGAGGCATCTAGCATCTTTTCTCCCTCATTTTTTCTTGGTTTCACCGTAAAAATAAAGATTAATAAGAAATGAACCAATATGATATGGCGTGCTTAGAGTACATTAGATATAGGACAGATATATATAGATACAATAACAAAGCCATGAAGTCCTAACTATTTGGGGTTGCAGATACAAAAATAATATAACCTAGAAAATCACCCATAAAAATGTTTCATTCTGCTCAGGCTTCAAAAGGCAGCAAGAGGAAAATAAATGGTGGCCTGACAACATTAACTATTCTGATATTTGCTCAGGTTAGATTTGGAATTTCCAACAAAATACAGACAAAGATATAGGACACAAATATGATATGCTGAATCTTGAAAACCATAAGAGACAACATGGCATGGATATGGCAACACAAAAGTACTTAAAACATTATATACATAGAAATATGCAATATTCTTGACATGGTTAAAAATGGAGCAAGGGAAAAACTTTCAAATGTTAAAAAATGTAGTTACCTGTCATGATAAATGAAGCAACTGACTAGCAACCTTAAATTATAATCATGAATAAAATAATTAATAATAACATAATAATCCAATAATACAGAGAAGATAGATATTAGAAAAATAAATGAAGAGCAATATTTTAATTGCATTTATCACAATATGATGCTTCAATTTATCATAAATCCATCTTAACTGTGGTCAAGAGATCAACATACAAATGAGAACAAAAGTTGTATAGAAATGTTCACAAAGCATCCTAGAGCATAGTTTTAAAGAATTGTTGAATAGATACATACCGCTTGAGATTTGCCAATCAGATCAGGAACCCAAAATTGAACATATAGTTCAGTACCACTTCAGATTTAGTTTTCATTATTCTATGCTAGGCAATATAGGTTGGTTTACTGTATGGAATACCAGTATTGTATTGGTCCAACAAGTTATCAAACTCAATATTAGACAAGTATTCAAAACTTTGCCATAGGGTACCCCAAAATTATTCGACAATTTAATAATTATACTTAGGAAATGTCTCAAACATGTCCAGAAAATCCTGTAAGTATCAGATCCAACACAGTATCTAATATGAACACAGCACAAAGTTAGAATTTGTGTTTCATAGAAAATTCTGAATGATCTGACAAACAAGCAAGGAATTCAAAGTATACATCTATACCTAAAGCATCCTTGCGGCCACAGAGGAAATGGAAGAGATGCTTTATATAAAAATGGGAGTTACTCTTTAATAAAAAGAAAACAAAAACACATCTAGTTTTCTGAAATCAGAGGTGGGAGAGTTCAAGTAGTCATTTAAGCACTACCACCAACCATCAAATTTTTATATCATGATTCTAATAAGCATCAGCTTCATTATGTTTATATATTCTACAGGCTCTTCTATTAACCTGAGGGGTATTAATATATATCATTGGAACTACTTCAGATTCTGGCTTCAGTCATTTTCATGATGGCAATTACCATGTACAGCATGACTAAAACTGAAAATAGTGACAACTGATTAGGGTCAAGATTGGTTATTATGGCTGTAGTCACTCTATGGAGATGGTTGCTGTATGTATAGAATTTGATCAGATTTGCAAGCAGTCAATTGATACACCCTATGTTGCTGATTCATATATCATAAAATTCCATGACAAATTTTGCACATAGCTTACAGAAATTTTGATTCAATAATCAGTTCATGCATTAATGCTGCACTGTTCTTCATATTTCAACAGTAAAAGTAGAATATTTTAGACATTCCATTTCTGTTTCCTGTTAAAGTCAAATAGTTAATACTTAATAGGTACCCTTTGCAGACAGTCAAAAGGAATCCTGAGCTGGATGTCCATTTTACACTTCATCCAATAGCCAAAAGCTTCATAGAAGTTCTGCAAATTCTTAAAGTCAACCATGAGCAATTTTCTTTTATTCATACCCAAGCTCATCAACAAAGAACTCCCACATGTTAGGTTGACAGATTTAAGATGCACACAACATTGACAAAGAAATAGTAGAAAACTAGAAATCCCTTTAATATCTTAAGAAAAAAATAAGTGCAGAAAGAGTGAACAGCAAAAGATTCTTTTTAACAAATCTAAAATGGCAATTTTACAGCATATGTGAAATCCTGCTTGTCACTTAAGCATATACAATGTATGCAACATTGCACAACCTAGGCCCCTTATTGATGAGACTAGTGCATTTAGCTGACATATTTTATCTTGTTTCCGAGTAATTATTTCTACGGGCAAATGATTTAGTAGTTTAGTATAATCAAGCATCACATTAAGCACACTGACAGTCACCTGACTGCAGAAAAAATCTAAATGAATAATATTATTAAAAATATCTCAAAAACTGAAGAAAAAAAAATTATGAACTTACATCATCTTCAATTTCTGTTGAAACTTCACACATTGAGTTTGGCTCCGATGGCACCTGAGATGACTGTGAGTTTGACATAGGCTTATCAGATTGCTGATTAGCACCCCTGCTATTTGTTGCCACATGAAGCTGGAACCTACTGTTATCACCATTCTCAGCTCCCAGACATTCATCAGAATCTTTTAGAGAAATTAACTGAGGCTGACTCTTTCCACTATCTTCTTTGGTAACTCCAAGTGTGATATCTTTTTTACCATCAACATTACATGCAACTAGTTTTCCCTCTACTGGAGGTTTTTCATCATCCATGGAGCACTGAGAAAGACTTATGTTCTTTGAGGAACCTGAGCATGGAAATTGTGCTTTTAGAGATATATTACTACTTGAGCATGGGTCTTCGATGTTGTCAGTCTTCTGACACAAGACATCATCTCTAAAACTAGAAGTGTTACTATTTTTCACTGAGGATTTTCCATTTCCGCTAGACTTCTGATTCTCTTCAATTTCACTATTATTACATTGTTGGGCAGCCTCTTTCTGAATTGCCTTTTCATCATTTCTGACAAGCAAATTATCGGCTGACACAGAGCTGCCTCCTATGACTTTCTCACCCAGTTCCCCAAGACAAGCATGAATTGCATTATTGGCATCTTTAAATCCAGAAATATGTGAATTATTTTCTATATGACACTCTTGTCTATTCTTTTCTACAGTAATAGCTGAAGCTTTCCTCTGATGCAACTCAGATGTTGTACTGCCATTTAGTACAAAAGGATTACCAGTTGTGTAACTAGTTTCTTCATGAAGAAAATTATTATCTTCAGCGGCATCTAAAGAAACCTTTGAATTTACAACAACATTATCAGATGCATCATGTGCTTCTGATGCTCTAGATAATTCTTTGCTCTCAGCATTTTCGATAGATGAATCATAACTTGAACTAGATAAATGGCTAGTTTCAGAAAATGCATTGTTCAGCTTATCATGCACTCTGCTCTTAACAACATAACCACTAGCAGCAATACAAGAGCTACTATCATCTTCTTTTCTGGAAGAAATATTATCAGATTGTCCGTCCTCAATTTTTGATTCCATAAGTGGTGAAAGTCGATTAAAGTGCAAACAGGAAGAGCAAGGAGCAGAGCACACGTTGCATGTCCCAGGTTCTGCTCTACTGGTGTGAGGACCCTTGAGTATGTTTAAGCATTTAGTTTCAACTGGAAATTGTTCCTGTAAATAACCAAAAAAAGGTCAAATGTAACTTGGACACATGATTTGAACTCATGTTGAAATTTCATTATATGTATAGCAAGGGGTTCCATAGGCACAAGAAAATACCACACATGTTCACCATATTCTAGATGGGTGACTTTATGTTCCCAGAGTTACAACAAAAGCAAAAGAACTGTGGAAGATTCTAATGTCTGAGCTCACAAAAATAGGTGCTCAGAAATCTCAGAAAAAGCAAATCCGATTTGGAATAAAAAAGAAGAATCCATAAGTTGAGACAAATTCCTACTTCAGTATCAAGATAACACACAATGTGCATATCAAGATATTACCCAAAAGCTTATATAAGACAACAGTAAAGACGAGCTCTGATGCACCATAAAAACTATAACTGTAAATAAAAGCACACATGTACACACAAGCACTAGAAACTCACATAGTTATGACAGTTTTCAAACTTGAAACAACTCATGGAACACCATATGCCATCAGAAAAGGTGTGATCTTTAGAAAGGCCAGTATAAAGAATGGCATGAATGGATTATCAAGCAACATTGCAACTAATAAAATTTAATTCAATTCTAAAATAACTGACATTACACAGCAGAAATATTATGCCTAAAGGATTATAAACTATTATTGTAGAAGCTTGACAGAAAACTAGAGGACATGCCTTGGCGCCACAATAAGGCCACTCCTTTGTGACTTGGGTGATAACACTCTAGTCAAAGAAGCAAACCCCCTACTTACATTGGCAGAAGTCTCATGTGTTGAGCCGCTTTATCTTATTGAAGTCATCAGGCGCCCAAGTGCTCGCCTAGGTGCCGGGCGAGGAGAGGAGTGGCCCAAGCGCCTGCCTATTGGGCCGGGTGGGCGACTTCACTCAAGTGCAATCCAGGTGCTCGCTTGGGCCCAAGAGTTCGGTGGGCTAGGCGCCCACGTGGTTCAACTCAGGCCAAGTCGAGCCTGTGTCAAACCAAATTAGTTTCCTATCTGGTTCGACTGAACCAGTTATCTAACACTCCAACACCCGACACAAGTCATGTGCCCTAATGTAGAACTCTCTCTTTCCCACAGTGTTTCTACATGGCGACAAACTTCCTCCCATCAGTGAACGACGACAGTAGCGACGTCTTCCTCTAGCGGCGACTTCTTCCCCTCCCTTCTGGTATATTTCTCTCTTTCTCCTCCCTCCTCCCTCTCACTGCAACCCCCTTCGCCTCGCTGTAGCCCTCCCCGTTCCCCAATCGCTCTTCCCTCTTCCCTTGTTGCTGCAATTTCCCTCTTTGCTGTTTGTCAATATAACTTATAAATATACAGTGGTATTTGTTTTTCATATGAGCTTTCCTACTGTAGTCAACTTGCTTATTGGACTGAATCAATAGTAAAATGTCAATTATTATGGAGACCTTGATTGAGCTTTCCTGTTGTTGCCACAGCATGCCCCCTTCCCCGCTCACTCTTCCCTCTTCCCCTCCTTATACGACCCGTGTATCTCTTTCCTGCTGTTATTAGATAAGGACAATGTAGTTTGGTACTTTAAATTAATATAAGGTTGATGTGTTATTTTAGTTTTAGTTTATTTTTATTAATCATGATATATAATTTTAAAATTATAATATTATGGAGCACCTAGCGCCTCAAGCGTTTTGGGACCGTAGTGCCTTTTGGAGCCTAGCACTTTTGACAACATTGCTTTATCTTAAACTTGACAAAACATATAGTAGGCTTGTCAATTTTTTATCATAATACCCTAAAAATAATAAATCTGAAAATGAATCTTAACAAACAAAACTTCTCACAAAGGTTTGTACTCATAGCTATACACGCAAAATTTTGCTAGACATCAATAATCTGTGTTTTGCAAGGAAAAAATATAAATTTAGTTAAAGAAGCCAGTGGATTATCATACATAAAGAAATGATACATGTTCAAATAAGTATTAATAATATGTCGGGAATTGTAAGAAAATCCAGCAAAACAGTTGCATCCCTATTTTAATGAAAAGTTATAGTCTAGAATGTTACAAGTTTGAGAACAACAAGAATGCCATGAGGGTTAGTCACCAGGGGAAAACACACATAAGACATGCAAAAGAGTTAAGCATCAAGGGGATACCATGATATTTACATAAGAACCAACATAATTATAAGAAAATCCAACAAAACAATTGCATCTATTAGCCCAAAATTCAAGTCTAGAATGTTAAAGTTACGTGTCAACTACATGCAGTGGGATTCTATAAGAACTTAAAACCTGTCCTTCCATGGTGCTGAAGTTTAAATGGAATACCACCAACAACTGAAAGCTTTAACAAAGCAACACTGTACTTTTACCATGAGTACTGAACTTAGGCCTAAGGGCATGTTTGGCTTAGGCTTTTGAAGGACTTCTACAACTTTTAAATATAAAAAGTTGATTTCACAAAATATTGAGTGTTTGGTATCAATTTCTGAAAAGGGCTTTTTGGGAGGAGCAATTAAAAAATTGCTTTTAGTAGGAGGTCAAGACCTCCTGATTTCTCATAAAAGAATTTATGATAAAATATCTCCTGATCCCGACACCCACCTGTATGGTGACCATCTACTACCCCCATCGACCATCATCATCGGCTCACCATCTTTAACCATTTCTTGATAAGCACTACCTTCATACAAACACCATCACCAACACTGACCACTGCCACCATCATCACCGGTTATCACTATCACCAACCATCATTATCACCATTACTACTATCATCACAGCCACCACTGCTGTTCTAGCTACCATCATCATTTACCACGACCAATATCGCTACTACCTTCACCACCACTACTACCATATCCACCACCACCACAATTATCACTATCAGTGATTCTGTCATCACTATTGTCACCACCATTATTGCCACCACCCATTGTTACTACTACCAATACTACCATTATCATGATCACCGCCACCGTGGCTATTACCACCACCTCTACCTCTACATCCACCTTCATCAACACCTGCCACCACCTTCATAACTGTTACCACCAACAACCACAGCAACTACCACTGAGGTCGCTGCCACTATCACCACCACCTTTACCCCTGTCGCTACCAGCATCATCTTCATCAATAACTTCCACTGTCATCTCTACCACAGCTATCACTTGCACTAGCACTGCTACCACTATTAGCAAAAAACACAGTTGGCATTATTAGATATATTACCAGCAACATTTTTCTAGAAGTTGCTTTGTCAAACATTTATTTTGTAAGAGAAGTACTTTCGCAAACTAGAAAGCCTTTTCTAACCAAATATATTCACCATCCTTCCATCCATAAAGCTCCTTCAAATGAAGCATTTTCAAAAGCTACTTTTTAAGAAAGAAGTTAGCTTTACTGAAGATGTCCTAAGGAAATTATGTCAAGAAGGACAAATGTCAACAATATATAAAGAAGTATAAGGCTAAACTAAGGGCTCAAAAATTACAAAAAAAGGACTAACAACCTATCTCAGTTGAGTGTCTCACCAAATTCGTCGTCTGAGGCTCATGATCATACTCGTTAACAGGATCTTCGATGTGGCAAGCTCCTTGGAGTATTTGTGTGATCTAGAAAGCAGTTTCAGAACCCATATCAATTATTACAATCAGCATAGCAGAACTAAACCTACCAGACAAAGAAAAAGCAAAAAAATTATCACCACCAGTAAACCATCAAACTAAAGAACTCATCTATATACACATCCAAAAATGCCATTTACCATCATCAATCATTTTCCCTACCTAGTAAAGCAGATGCTCAAGGGAATGGAACCATGCAGCCACGTCAAAATGCCTAAGATCCACAAACTATGTAAATTAATATGCAAAAGAATCATTCTTTCCAACAAGAAACAAATAGTGTCTGAAAAAAAAAATCCAATTCCCACAACAATCAGTTATACAAGCAGATAGCATCAAAATGCAAGCTATAAACAAATCAAACAAATCATTCCACCAAGAAAGCCAAAGGACCAAAAGAGATCCAATTGATCACATAGGCAAATGCAGGATCATGATCAAGGGGAGTAAAGGGGCATTTCTACATTCCTTCGGTTGAGAGATCCTCCTGGTGGCATCATAAAGCCCTGCCAGACTGGACAGCAATCAGAAATTCCCCAACAAACTAGCAAAATGCCAAGAATCAGCTAGAAATCAACAGAAATTAGTAAGAATGAACCATCCAATGGTACCTAGACTTACTACTGGAAAAATATAAAAATGAACATCGGGCTTTAGCCAATTTAGTTCTAAGAACACAATCATTCAGGTCAGGTTTGGTCTGGTCCAGTGGCTCGGGGAACTGGATCGTGTGGGGCACCTGGGTTTGATTCCTAGTGAAAGAAACAAATTTATTTTCTTTAGTTAAACATGTATATTGAGCAATTTCAATTATAATTTATATATTACAAAATTCAAATTGTAACTAACAAATATAATTAATCTTTTGAATTAAATTTATATATAATATATGGTTCTTGCAATTGCTTCTCATGTGGGGGACGTAATATCAATAGCTAATAATAGCACAAAAAGAAATTTTTCATTTAAATTTATATTTTATGCAATTTCAATTATAACATAAATTTTATACCACTTTTGTATCATATTATATATTTATATTAGGAAATATAATATATGTATAATATACAAGTTAACTTCCCCTTATTTAAACCTGTGACTTGCATATTAAGCAATTTATATTGCACTTATAAGTTTAAACTAGATTTATATATAAAGTGATATATAATAATATTAAGCAATTTAATATATATTATATTAGACAATTCAACTAGTAAACAAGCTTAATTTGAACTTAAATATTATTACATTAAAACACGAACTCAGCCATGAATACTCATCAATTTTACTTTCTTCTTTTTTATTTTTTTAATACAGTATTTTTTGGCCAATTCTGATACAGTCAATTTGATCCGACTGATCTAGATGATAATGAGTTTTATGCCACTAGATGATCCAAAGACCAAATTTTGCTAAAAGACAGTTCCTTTTGTTATTATCTTATGATGTTTTTTCTCCTCTAGAGTGACAATTGCCGATGCCAAACATCCCCATAAAAGTTAAGTCTCTATCAAAAGGTTCACAATTTAGAGCCAATAATAGTAAAACCACAATTATTTTGTCAGAATGGTAAAATATAGTAATGAAGACAACTACATATAGTCAAAATCAGCCTTAAAGTTTGTGGTACCACCTCGGACTAATTTGAGAAAGATGTGAATGAGTCGTGGAACTTCAAGAAAATATGTCAAATCTCAAAACAAAATCAATGGTCATTATGCTGAAATCCTATATCCAACTACATCATACCAATGTAAATGTGAATCTTCATTAAAGTTTCTGTTAGATTAATAGTTATTCTTCTGCAACTATCAAAGCTTTCTATATAACCTTATGTAATAAAAAACTGCATATCTTAACCTTGGATCAAAATTAAAAACACCGAGAGCACTGTGGAATGTTATTATAACTTAGTGTTCATCATAAATAATCTTCTATGCAAAGAATGATTCTTTGCTGCAGCATAAAATAGATTATTTGCAATTGAAATCATCTAACACAAACAAAGTCCAAAAACCTCACTGCACAGGTAGGTTTTAGGTGTGAAACTCCAATGCAATTATGCAACCATTTCTTCAAGAAGAAAATTAAGTAGAAGCCATCATATTTGTATTTCTTTGTTATGGTTCCAAGTGAGGTTTGTAGTTATGATTCCTAAAAAGTCAAGGAAACAATAAAATAATAAGGCTCTTTTGCTGGAAGTCTATAGTCATGCAATTGAGGTATCAAACAACACTTAATACTGGCAGGAATAAAAGGATTACAATGCTAATTTGACTAGATTTCGTGCAAGGAGGATGTGGATTTAAAAGAGAACAATGTTTCCCACTGGTTCAACAGGATTTTATAAAAGAAATGTAAACTAGATAAGATAGCTACATAAACACTCACACACACAAATCATCAGAAAAAGGTTAATATTTACTACATATGTGGCTTGAACTTATCCAATCTCGCATGCAAGCTAAAAGAAACTATCTACGTGACTTAAAAGATTGCAATCATTATGCTCAAATGAGTTGTCTTCTACTCCTGTTAAGTAGTTAATGAGAATGCAATAATGCAGTCATATTGTCTCCTTAAAGAAAATTCTGACGATAGTGCTGTAAAAGCAATAAGACTAAAATTAAGGGATCAAAAATTGCCGACATAGTAAGCAACTCACTCATCTTGGTTGAGTGTCTCACCGTATCTGTCCCCTGAAGCTCATAGTCATACTCATCAACAGGACCTTGAATGTGGCAAGTTCCTTGCAGTATTGGCGTGATCTAGAGCAGGTTCAGACCACAACAATTATAACAATCAGCGTAGAGGAACCAAACCCATTAATTCAAAAAAGAAAATTTTATCACCACTACTAAATCATTGAACAAAAGGCCTCATCAGACGACACATCAAGATCTGCCATTACTATAATTATCCATTTTCCTACCTACTAAACCAGATGCACAACAGAATTCGAATCATGGGGCCGTATCAAAATGCCTAAAAACCACAAAGTACAGCAAATTAATATGCAAAAAAGAATCAATCTTTCTCCAACTAGCGACAAGAAAATTTGCAAAGAACCCAGTTTCCGTTTCCAATTGATTACACGCGCGAATAAGATGAAGAACGGAGCAGAAAAGGACCAAATCAAACAAATCATTCCGCAAAGACCGAGACAGATCCAACTGATGAGGCGAATATGGGAACACGATCAAAGAGCAGTGAGGGGGGTCTCTTTACATGCCTCCGGTCGCGAGAGACTCTCGGTGGCGTCGTAGAGCTCAGCCAGGGCGCGATCCCGGCGGTTCCTCATCCCTCCCGCGCTGGTCCCTATCGGTCCCGATCGGATTACCCCCCGTCAGGGTTCCATCCGTCTCCGCCGCGACCGGAATCAGGGCTTTCGAGGCTTCCTAGGAGAAGAAGAGGGCGCAGATTGGAGAGTGGGGTTACAGAAGGGGAGGAAGTGGGGGTGCGACGGCTATCGTGAGCCGGTGGAAGGGAGGATCGGCGTGCACCGATGGGGGGTCACGCTTAATTTTCTTGTGGGCTTTATCGGAAGCGGAGAGGCGATGAGAGAGAGAGAGAAGACGGGAGAGAGGAAGGAGAGAAGGGGAGAAGGGGGCAGGCGAGGCAAAGGGAGAGATGAAAGAGAAGGCTACTCCTCTTAATAAAAAAAGAAAACAAAAATAATAAAAATCGAGAAAATCTCATTGGCACGTGAGTTGCACATGATGTCAATTGTGTGCGACTCCAAAGTAGCACCTGTGAAACACGTGATGATATGCACGTGAGTCGCACGTGTATGCACTCTTTTAGGGGTGGCGACGCAAATCTCTATGGCGTGAATTCTAATCTCCCTCTCGTATTATATTAATGATATAATTTTTTTTCCTGAAAATTAAATTATATGGAGAATTGATTCGACATAGTCGGAAACTAAATCAAAATTATTTATGTCCTTAAACTTCAGCAGTTCCAACTATAAATTATTTATGTCCATAAACTGATATAATGGTAGTATCATTTAAGTATTAATGTTGCTCTTAATTATTAAATTAGTTTAAGGGAAATTTATGACTGAATTATTAAAATGAAAATTCTTGCTCATGGATACTCATTAATTTTTATTTTATCTTCTTTTTTCTGAAATTTAATTTTTTTTATCATTTGCGAGCTCATCGATTTGACCGATATTGAGATTTTGCAGCTGATCAATTTAGATATTAATTCCAATATTACTGATATATTGTATCAAAGTGTTGGGTGCTAAAAATTCAGTAGTTTTATCTCTCTCTCTCTCTCTCTCTCTCTCTCCTCC